GTTATTAAGAATGAAACTTATTGATAACGATGAATGTTCTACGTGTCATACTCACAAAGAAAATGTTTTTCATGTTTATATTGAATGTCATGTTGTTAAGAATTTTGGGTCAGATTTCTGTATTTACTTGACTCATATTTTGCATAGAAAAATTCATATAACTGACAACAAGCTCCTTTTTGGTACCTCTTATGTATTAATTAACCATTTGATTGTAGCTGCTAAAAGATTTATCTTTGTCCAGTGTTTTAAGAATGAAAATGTTGACTTTGTTGCTTTTAAGAACACAATAAGAAGTATCTATGACGTTGAATATCATATTGCACGTAGAATTATTACTTCTCTGCCTTTAACAGAAAATGGGCTTTGGGCTTTGTTTACTCAAATTGTAAAATAACTTATTCACTTAATGCTTGCAACATAATTTGATGTACCATAAATACCGTATCTTCTTAATTGTATACATAAATATGCCTTTTATCTGTACCATGCTGTGGATTATGCCTTAGGCCTCCTCTGTACCACATCCTTTTGCGAATAGCTTTATACATGAATTTGTACTGTTATTCGACTGTATCTGTATCCTGTGGTACATGACTGAATAAAAAAGAAAAAAAAGAAATATAAAGTTCAAGTGATTAAAGTGATTATTTAATCTTACAGTACAGTACACTACACCATTTAATTCATTTACAGGACCCTTATATTTACTGAAAGGACCCTTGAAATTAGTAATTGGGGGGTTCTCTGGACCCTTGTTTAGTAGGTTAATGTAAAATGTTGTATTTGTCATGTGAAGAAACGGCATTCCATTGGTACAGAGGCTGGGATGGTATTTCTGTCTGAAGAGGCTGGTGCTTGATACTGGTAGACTTGATAAATGTTATTGCAGTATGGTTACATCTTTCTCATGATTTGGACTGCACGTTAACCATGATTGTGATTCTTGTCAGAACCATGCACATACTTGTGGGGTTTAAGAACATGGTCAACATCTTTGACCCTCATCACTTGGTGCTTTTCCCCTTTAGTCCTGAGTAAATGTGGCTATATATCCAGTCAGCAATCCTCCAGCAACATCCCATCTGTCTGAAAACAATCGACAAGGGGTTGAGGTAGTGATCCACATCATGGGGATATGATGACACATACTCAGCCCGGTCACAGACTCACACATTGTGACCATCAAGTCCTCATATTTGACAGACAAACATTGTTTGGTTGGGACTTATTCTGCCCTGGAATCCCCATGGACCCTTCTTGTACGTTAATGTTGTCATATATGTAATGGCTAGCGACCAGTTATCGCTGAGGAACAATTGCCACCAACTCCCCATCATAGTGTGCACATGATTGCATCTTGTTTAAGTTTTGCTTGTTTTCATTAGAAAAGATAATGAATTTTTCCAAAAAATTGAGGAAATATTAAAAACACACCATATAATCACCTTGCTCAAATACAACTTCAGAAAAGACAAACGGGTGGTGTCATGTGACTAATTCATGAGTAAACAGAAATCCACCAATGCAATGAAGCACATTCAGTTCTGTCGTAGCTCATTATCTTTCTGTCATTTCTTCCTAAAAATACAATTCTATAACCTATTTGCGCTAATTTTCCAAAAATTTGTAACCCTGTTCATATTGTGAAATCCATAGTACAAAGTGTTCCGGATAAGCATGTGTAAATCAAATTAGGGGAATATTGGTTACGTCAGTTTGCAAATGACAAATTGGTGATAGCATTTCTTATTAATTGTAATAATAATTGAGTGACATATCATGGGCGGATACAGCTTTTTTTAAAAGGGGGGGTGCACAATTAAGATCTATTTATTGACTTTGGTGGTAATTTATACAGAAATAAAGATTTTTTTCGGAATAAAAAGGGGGGGTGCGCACCCCCGCACCCCCCCTCTGTATCCGCCCATGCATATACCAGAGAAAATAAAAAATGTAATTTGTAAAACCGAAGCTGTGTTCATGATCATGTGAAACCCGATGTTTAGACGATGGCAATAACTGGTAAATTTCTATTTCCACTGTTTTGATTCCTTATCGTCGCACCATAACAGAAATCTACTGAAACTTTGTCCATGGACTGAAATACAAGCTCATATTTTCACAAAAATCAAAGTTATTGGCACAATTAACTTTGTATACAGAATATTTCAGAAATAACATGAAAAAAATGGCTGGTCGTTGACCAGTAATGTTTTAATGTTTTAAAATCAAAAGAAATATTTATGGGTCAAGCTGAGGTGTTACATTAACAATACTAAATATAACATAAAATTTAAAGTGCCACAAACAAAAAGCATTTTTCACACTGTGTAAGAGAGGTGATCGACAACCAGAATGAGCCCCACCAGCTGAAGCCTGTGTCCCAGGGCAAAAGCAAACCATTACTCTTCACTAAGTGGCTGCCAGGGGCAGGTCATCAGTCACTGGGGTCAGGGGTCAGAGGTGACTAGAGTGAGGTGTAGGTGTGTGTCAGGTGGAGGTACAGATTGGTCTGGGACAGTCTGTGACAACCTGTACTGGTTGCTGGGATAACTGACATAGTACTGGTGTTGGTTTATGTTTGGCCTTAAGTAAACTGTGTTACTTTGATAAGAATGGTAGCTCATAAGTCAAGATTAGCTTTGTTCAGTCGATTGTGTTGTGGTCAGACACTTGTTTGAACTTATTGTTGACATTGATATATTTGACATTAACTGTCTGCATGGTCTAGGTTAGTATTGGTTCTTGGAAAGGAGTTCGGAACATTGACAGGGTTGCATAATGGACAAGATATAAACATGATAAATGTTTAAGTTTGGTTATATTTTGCGTCTAATTTTCTATATATTACTTCAGTACCAACATGACCGACCCGTGAAGATCCAGGATAGAATAGGTCTTCAGCTACATATGCTTTTCATAAGAGGCGACTGTGCTTGTTGTAAGAGGTGTTTAACGGGATCAAGTGGTCATGCTCGCTGACTTGGTTGATGCATGGCTTCGAATCCGAATTGCGTAGATTGATGCTCATGATGTCAATCACTGGATTGTCTGGTCCAGACTTGACTATTTACAAACAGCCGTCATAAAGCTGGAATATTGCTGAGTGTGGCGTTAAACAACAAACAAACAAACAAACAAACAAACAAACAAACATGACCACTGTTATACATACATGTGCATATTGTGGGTATTGGCAAGAAAACTTCCTTTTATCAGTAAGAATGAATATATATATTATATATATGCTATATCTCCATGATTTTGCAACAAGTCAGGGATGCTTTCAGCGGAAATCAGTGTGTGGGTTACTAAACTAAAATGTAATGAGAGTAAAGAAATCACTGAATACGAGCTAATGGAAGTTGACAAATAAGATTTTACAGTCTTCACAGTGGTGAAATGTGAAGTATATTTATAGCAGCTGAAGTCCAGGATTAACACTCTTCTCCCAAGGAAACTGTCATTGATTCACATGCAACACTTTATCAAGAAATTTGAAACATGGAATGAGTCATGTGAGAAATTTGCATTGTCAGTGAATACTGGGTGCTGATAATAACCTGTCAGCTTGTTCCCATGAAGTCTGAGAGCATGACAGAAGTGGCCTCATTTCACTGCAAGAGTGTACTCTTTTTCTGAAATGTCGCTGTCATTTTCAAGAGACAAGCCAACAGGATCTGGCCCAGCAAAATTCTCATTTTGGAAGCAATTTGGAACTTGTTTTGTTTATTTGAATACTTGGAATTCCTCGGGTTTTGATTTGAGAAAGTACTAGATTTGAGAAAGTATTTTGTTGAGATAAAAACCTTCATTTCACTCTATTCTCCCTAATAACCTGACCCGTTAGTTTATGTCACGCCTTCAAAATGTATAATCTTTTCAAAGTTTTGTACAGAATCATGTGATACTTCATAGGTTATATACTGGTTATATATGCAGTAGAATATAGCATCTCTACACAGTCTAATTGATGCAGTGAGATAACGATTAATAAGGATATTTTAAGGCGGGGGGGAGAATAAATTGTCCCCAAATTATCTTGAAAAGAATAATTAATTATGCTTCATATTGTTTGTGAGCCCAAATCCCAATTGTGTGGATCGATGCTCATGATATCAATAACTGGATTGTCTGGTCCGGACTTGATTATTTACAGACCGCCGTCATATAGCTGGAATATTGCTGAGTTTGGCGTTAAACAACAAACCAACAACACCATGTTACAGTGTGTTACAGTATGATACAATATGTACATATATATAGAAATAAGTATGATATATTTTTCAGTGTGTTGCACTGTGTTTAAGTGTGTTACAGTATGATACAATATGTACATATATATATAGAAATAAGTATGATATAATTTTCAGTGTGTTGCACTGTGTTTAAGTGTGTTACAGTATGATACAATATGTACATATATATATAGAAATAAGTATGATATATTTTTCAGTGTGTTGCACTGTGTTTAAGTGTGTTACAGTATGATACAATATGTACATATATATATTGAAATAAGTATGATATATTTTTCAGTGTGTTGCACTGTGTTTAAGTGTGTTACAGTATGATACAATATGTACATATATATATTGAAATAAGTATGATATATTTTTCAGTGTGTTGCACTGTGTTTAAGTGTGTTACAGTATGATACAATATGTACATATATATATTGAAATAAGTATGATATATTTTTCAGTGTGTTGCACTGTGTTTAAGTGTGTTACAGTATGATACAATATGATAAACAAGGACTGGTCAGGATGAAACTATAAAAAGTACTAACAATCACACACACATACATGCACGTCACTATGTAAGTGCAATAATCTTTAATGTGACGTTAAACCCAATTTCACCTCACCTACAGTATGAATGTTATAGTTGTTTGAGTATGACACAGTGTGTTATAATGTGGTATAGTATGGTATGATACAAAAAATTATCATGACTCTGATCCATTTGTCAGTGTTGTATTTCCTTTGTTTTAGTCCATGGAGCTCGAGGTTTACAAGGGAAAAAAGCAGGTAAGATACTTTTCTGTATCTGAAGAACGATTGGTGAATCCAAGTCAGTATGTATCTGCCCGCAGATATCATGACTATTCAAGAACTGTCTGGAGCAGTGTAAGCCAGGCTTATAATGTAGCTCTGTGTATTTGTGCTGAGTCAGACTTCATTGTGCCTCATATTTTAATAGCAGTATCTGACTGGTGTGTCACGTGGGTTATTAATATCTGCTGTCACCCAGCTGTGAGATATGTATGTGTGAGTGTCATGTAGACCAAGTGATATGTGTCACATGGGTTATTAATATCGGCTCTCACTCAGCTGTGAGATATGTATGTGTGAGTGCCATGTAGACCTAGTGATGTGTGTCACGTGGGTTATTAATATCGGCTGTCACTCAGCTGTGAGATATGTATGTGTGAGTGTCATGTAGGCCTAGTGATGCGTGTCACGTGGGTTATTAATATCTGCTGTCACTCAGCTGTGAGATATGTATGTGTGAGTGCCATGTAGACAGAGTGAGGTGTGTCACATGGGTTATTAATATCTGCTGTCACTCAGCTGTGAGATATGTATGTGTGAGTGCCATGTAGACCTAGTGATGTGTGTCACGTGGGTTATTAATATCGGCTGTCACTCAGCTGTGAGATGTGTATGTGTGAGTGCCATGTAGACCTAGTGATGTGTGTCACATGGGTTATTAATATCTGCTGTCACTCAGCTGTGAGATATGTATGTGTGAGTGCCATGTAGACCTAGTGATGTGTGTCACGTGGGTTATTAATATCGGCTGTCACTCAGCTGTGAGATATGTATGTGTGAGTGCCATGTAGACCTAGTGATGTGTGTCACGTGGGTTATTAATATCTGCTGTCACTCAGCTGTGAGATATGTATGTGTGAGTGCCATGTAGACCTAGTGATGTGTGTCACATGGGTTATTAATATCGGCTCTCACTCAGCTGTGAGATATGTATGTGTGAGTGCCATGTAGACAGAGTGATGCGTGTTACGTGGGTTAATAATGTCTGCTCTCACTGTTCTAACAAACATAAGACCCTTGAGTATTCATATGCCTGTAACCATGGTAACATATACATTTCCCTGGATGTTGGAGGATGGGATCCTTGGCAAACCTTCTGTTACTGTCAAGTGGGAACCAGGACCCCATGCCATGGCACGATTGCCAGCTGCTTGTCATTTGGACTAACCTTTAATTTGCAGGTCGGTGTAAATTCTCTGTGATATTTGGTGTTGGCTCAAAGAAGTATCGTACCAGCATTGTGAAAGACCCACCAGGAAACCCAGATTGGAATGAAGAATCCACAGTGTGAGTTGCTGCAGAATCACAGTCAAAAGCTAGCGCATCTAGAGCAGGGTGATGAGGTTGAAGTGTTCACTCAGGATTATTCTTTCTATTGCTTGTATTGATTAAATTCCTTAACATGGTGCTCAGAAAGTATTTTGAAGGCAGCTCACAAGGAATAGATTTGATGACAAGGACTGTTTCTGGCCTTACTGCAACCCAGTGCATCATATAGGCAGACCTGTCAACCCTCCCGCATTTTGCGGGAGACTCCCGCAATTTGATGAAATCTCCCAGTCTCCCGCAAGATGGACTATTTCTCCCGCAAAACAGAATTTTTCATTATGTAAAAAATTCGCCTCCATTGTCCCGTGAGTAAAAACAATGAACGGGAAGTTTGCGTCCCGATCTGTCCGGTAGGCTCCCGGATTAGCGACCCTTATCACAGCCACCCGCAGGGGGACCCAGATGGGCCTTTGTCCAGTAATCAACTGGTAATTAAATTCATATGGTGAACGATTGAACAATGTAAACTGTTAAGAAAACTCGGATAGTCCTAACAGGTGCCTGAAGGGTTGAACTTGAAATGAAAAATCAGCCAAGTATTCATCACTTCATGAAATGAACTGTTGTCTTCATGTTCTTAGCGTGTTTATTCTTCCATAATTTAAGAACATTGGAAACATATGGCCAGTCCAGTTATACATAACTTTATTGGTTATCAGATTTGTCAGAAACTTTGTTAAAACATCAACATACCTCAAAGTTACGTCATTGAACTCTTGGAAATGAAAACAAAATATGTCCTGCAAGCGCCGTCTTCAGAAACAACACTATGCGTGATTGGTTGATTCGGTAGTCGAAATAACAATGAGTTACACGATCAGGCTTCCTCACAGCTAGGATTTCAAAGTCAAAGTTTAAAGTGAAACTTATAAATTTCCTTTTGACTGACATCGTGACTTGTGTGCACAGAAAATATCAAAACAGAACTTTATCAAATTTCGCGAGAATGTATCATGTGATTATTTTACACGATTTGATTGGCTAATAGTTTGCTTGCGTCCCAGATCTGCAATCTAATTTGCATACAACAGTACTAGTCAACCAATGAGATTAATACACATCAAGGTCAGAAAGGTCAACAACGACAACGAGACTCATTTCATTCATAAATTGTAGTAAAACGTAATAGTACTTCCAAATATGGCATACATTTCTTGGAATGGAATAACGTGAACATTTCTAGGAAATTTAAGGAGCGAAGTAATGGGACTGTCAACAGACTACGGCAGACAGAAAAAACAGTATATCTTATTGAAATTAAGGGCGATAATGTTGCGTCAGGATAAATGCATTTGATATTTTCTTTGGCGAATTTTGTAACCAACATCGCGCCAAATACTCAGAAAACCTGCATCGTAACGAAGTCTGACAACTGGTCGGATTGAACACGTCGTCAACTGGTCAAGCTACCGATTGTGAAATTTCAATATCTGTTTGCGTTTATCTGAGATGATCTTTGAACGAAAGTTATATGGGTAGATTGTGCTGGGTTTATTTTTGGAGGAGGAAAATGCAAACGGAAATTAAGCAAGCTGTACGTATAAGAAACTTATTGATTATTTATTGTTTCAAAATATTTGGTTTTCTTTGTAACATTATTAAAAATAAAAGTTGGAAATTATCTTATCTTCACTATCTTAAAAATCTCCCCCTTTGGAGTCAAATCTCCCCCATTTTGAAGTCAAATCTCCCACATTGTCATGATGAGGGGTTGACAGGTCTGTATAGGTGGCAAAGTTATAATGTACTGGGTCCAAATTCGGTACTGAAAAATATAAACACTGTTGTAATCTAGTATTTATACCGTATTTTCTTGAGTATAGTGCGCACTTTTTTTCCAAAAAACACAGCTGTGTGGAAGGGGGTGCGCATTATACACGAATTATGCGTTTGGATGTTTTTTCCCCCATGGAAAGACATTACCGTGAGCACGAAACACCGGAAATACCATGTCAACAAATCCATACTGAAGTACGCAAAATAATCATGTAATTACACTGTCTGGCAATAAAAAGAGTTATTTGTATATCTGGACTTATGTTTGTAACTTATTTCATTAATTTTATTCAAAATTCCTTTTAATATTGTTTTTATTAATTTCGGCGAAATCGTGTGTGAAGCGATCGGAAGATCACACAACTCACCGTTATTAACAGCAACCACGGTCAGAATACCGCTATTGACGCCTTGAAACGAACTTTAGTTGACAGAGAATGGATACATATATCATAAATGACATACTTTGACTCGTTAAAAGTCATATTTGTTTTTGTTTGACGATTCTATGTCAACATGAAATTCTCGCGATCACGCGATCATGTGCACGTGAGCCTTGACGGTGACTGGTCAGATTGGTTCCATGTAAAAAATAATACCCGGGAATAGCAATCAGCTGCTTCGCTTAGGGTTATTATTATTTTAAATATGTTTAGTAAAGGCTCCATATAATTAAGAAAATAATGGAATATATTATTCCTGATAAAAAAAATACAATTTCAGATACAATTTTTGCCGATCCTTGCATTAAAAATCCTATAAAGTTATATCATTGGGTGTGTCTTGACCGAATCACAGGTCGATTCCAAGAAAACGTGTGTACAGCTGATTGCTGTTTCCGGCTTAGTTTACGAGACAATACACAAGGTAATCTTAATCCCTGGATATAAAACAATGCCTAGCAGAACAATAAATACTATTTAATCGGTAAATAAACATGTCTGGTGATTTTTTATCTCAAATTTCGAATTTGTACTGACGAAGTTTCTCATCACCCGTTCGTTTGCCGGACTTCGCTGAAAGGGTACGGTGTAATTTTTTTCTGCGCATAATATTCAAATTTCTTTTTTTTTCAACATATTGAACCCGCTAGAGGGGGGTGCGCATTATACACGGGTGCGCACTATACTCAAGAAAATACGGTACATGAGAAAAGAAGTGAGGGTGAAGCGATACACCGATATTCCGATGCAGCACGATACTTGACCCACGATACGATACACGATACATGTGAGCCTATATATCGATACGCCATGATACAGAACGCAAATCTTAAGAACAGTGTTCCCTCGCTATTGCACACTTCAATATGGCGTTAACTCAGTTAAAGTGTGCGGTATTGCATGTCTCCCAAAACTTACTTACATTTTTCATAAGCTCAAGTTTTCCCCATCTCAAAAAACATTATCAGCTGATCATCGCGAGCAGGTAACACCGGAAATACCAGTCAACAAATCCAAACTGAAGTACACAATTTAATCCCATTATTATACTATCTGGTTATAAAAACATGTTCATTGTATATCTGGACTTAGGTTTGTAATATATTTTGTTATTTTTACTAAAAATTTCATTCATTATTGTTTAGATCTACAGTACATTAAAATCGCGTGTGAAGTGATCGGTAGATTGCACAACTCACTGTTGTTTACAGCAGTCACAGTCAGATTACCACTATTGATGCCTTGAAACGAACTTTTGTTGCCAGAGAATATATAGATATATACTGAACAGCATTGAAAATGCACCAGCAATAAATCTTGAAATATTACAAAAACAACTTGAGCAATGACCGATTTTGATTAGAACAGACATAGACGGATTATTAAGAAAGACGACAAAGGAAACAGGAATACCACACAGGAAGACACATAGGGTTAAAATGAAAAGTCAATATCTGGTATGTCCGCCATTGACAGCAACACAGGCCATGCAACGTCTTCTCATTGATCGAATAAGTCTGCGAATAGTGTTCTGGGGCATTCCACTCTTGACGTAGTGTATCTTCAAGTTCTCTCAGGTTCTGTACTTGCGGACGACGTGAGAGGCGTTGACCCAGGTAATCCCATAGATGTTCAATCCCATAGATGGCGATAGATCGGGTGACAGGGCTGGGCCATGGAAGCAGAGGCACATTATTGTTCGCTAGGTACTGTGTTGAAACACGTGCTGTGTGCGCTCTTGCATTATCTTGCTGGAAGGTGTGCATATCCTGGTGCTGATGAAAGAATGGGATGACGTGATTTGCCAATATGTTATTCCTGTAGTAAAGGCATTAACTCTTCCACGACAAACATGGAGCTCTGTTCGATGGTTATGACTGATGCCGCCCCACACCATGACACTCCCTCCCCCCCCATCGATCTGTCTGTACAACGCAGTCATTGTGGTAACGTTCTCCACGTCACTGCCACACTCACAGTCGACCGTCAGCATTCCGTAAATGAAAACAGGACTTATCAGAGAACAGCACACCATGCCACTGCCGCAATCTCCAATGACGATGCCTGTTGGCCCAACGCAGACGTTCATTTCGATGTCGATCAGTGAGTATGGGTCCAACATATGGATGTCGAGCACGTAGCTCTGCTGAGCGGAGACGTCAACATATGGTGTCAGCACTGATCAATTCCGTCGGCCTTGTACGGTTGCTGCAGTCCTGGTAGCCGGAAGTGTACGATCAAGAAGATGCCGACGAACAATATGGCGATCCTGACGTGGTGTAGTTACACGACGTTGACCCGGACGTGGTCGATCTCTGGTCGTTCTTGTCTGCTGGTATCTGCTCAGTAGCCTGAGGACTGTTGAATAATGGCATTGAAACCGTTGTGCAACGACTCTACTTGACATACCAACTTGAAGCATGCCCAAGGCACGTTCACGTTCCTCTGCTGTTAATCTTGGCATTTCTTGTGTCAGTACCCTTTATGTCTGCAGCAACAAGTGATGTGGCTTTTAAAAGTCTGTCTTTTATAGCCCTGTTCTGCATGCTTCCCGTGAAACAAAACACGTTTTCCATGATGTTCACGCAATTTGTTGCGGTTTGGCGATTTCGCTCACAATAAATTTAGGAATGTGTTTTGCCGAGGTGTTCTTCTTCATGCTTCGTCCAGAACGTCGTATATTACTCATTCACTTATATATTTTCATATGACTTAAGCCCGGATAAAAATACATCCATTTTCATGGTGGTGCGTTTTCAATGCTGTTCAGTATATTATAAATGTCATATTTTGACTCGTTAAAATTTGACTATTATATGTCAACATAAAGTTTTTGCAATCAAAATACATTTTGCGCAGGAAGTCCCTATGGTGACTGGTAAAATAATATCCTGCAATAGCAATCACCTGTACCAAAGTGCTACGCTTATGGGTCTTATATTTTTAAATATATATAGTAAAAGCTGCTACTAAAGTGACACTATATTGGAATATATTGTTCCTGATAAAACAATACTTTCAGATACTGTTTCTTCCGAACACATTTCAAATTCTTTGAAGTTGTATTGTTAGGTACTTTTGAACTGAATCACCGGTAGATTTGGAGAAAATGTGTGCACAGCTGATTGCTATTTCTAGCTTATGGGAGCAGGAAATACAGTTTTAAAGGTAAATCATCGTGTCTAGTGATGTTTTATATCAAATTTCATATTTCCAAGTTTGTGATACCAGTTCAGACACCTGAATTCGCCGAAGGGATAGAATGTGTTTTTTTTAACCGCATAACACTTGATAAATATTCTTTTTACACTACTGAAACGCATATAGTAGATTGTGTTTGGTAGTGAGACATGTACTGTTGTGTTGGTCATCTACCCCCTATGTCTCCACCTCCGTTAAGACTCAACAGCCTGAGACATTGTCAGTACTGTCCCCGATAATGTTGACATTTTATTTTTTCTGAAAAAGATCATGAAGTTGAACTATTCAGACTGTGAAGTACATTGATTATTTTCTGGTGTTTGAACTTTGAAGTTATCTGCTGGTTTGAAATTTGAAGTGTTTTGAAGGAAAGTTAGAGAAAATTCCACTTTGAAGCTTAACAACTTCAGTAGTCTTGTTATTATAAAAATAATTTTTACTATTCCAAAATCATGAAAGATCCAATCTTTTACATGCTTGAAATCATGAAACTTAATAAATTCTGGAGTACCGGTATCTGTTTTTTGTGTGTATTTTTGTGTATCGTAACCAGAGTTTCGAGATACATATCATATCGTGACCTTCCTGTATCGTTGCAGCTCTAAAAAGAAGATACAAAATATCTGGTCACAGAAATTATTTGACAACTTGTTAAATGTGGTGTAAAGCAGTTTATGAGAATTGTCTTTACGGTGGTGTTGTTCTGATGAATTGTATCAACTGATTTCAGTGAAATGTTTTGTGACCAAGATGTAGGTAAACCCATGTTCATCTCTCCATTCACCCTTTTTTCTCCACCAGGAATGTGGGTTATACTGGCGACCATGTGTTCTTCACTGTCACAGAGAAGGAGGACATCTTGGGTCAAGTGATTGTGCCCCTGGCGGGTCTGACGACGACCCAAGGTCAGGTAAAACGTGTGTTTCTCAAGAGCCATAAAAAATGTCTGCATCCACAAGGGGAACTCATCTACCAGTGCTACGTGTCCAAACAGCGCCCTGTTTCCCAAACTCCGCTTATTAAGACCAGTACCCCCAACAGCAGCAGTGGGGCCACTCTGACAGGGTTCGCTCGCCTGCGCCACAACCTCGCAGCATCCCCGATCCTTCCCCCACGAACAAATCGGGAAAAGAGGGACAGCAAGAGTAGCAGCTCCTTGTCGAACTTCAACAAGAAACTCTCCAAGTCAATACATGACATATTCAGTTTTGGGAAGTCATCCGATGATGATGACACCAACTCAAGAAACCAGTCCAAATTTGGCTGGAAGTTTAAAAGTAATACGGAACTTGATGCATCAAGTCAGCCGCCGGTCATCAGTGCGATTAATCCGAACATTGCCCCGATTGAAGGAGGAACCAAGCTGAGGATTAGTGGGCAGCATCTTGGAATCGGAAAGTCGGACTTGATAGAACTGCAGCTATGTGGGTGTGACTTGCTCAACAGTGTAGAATATGAGTCTGAGAATGCTGTAACCTGTGTCACGAATGCCACAACCCCTGGGAAAGGGGATCTGTGGATTGAGACAGTATCAGGAGGACAGAGTGTTCTCAAAAATGTGTTTACGTTTGTGGATACTTCAGTTGCGCTCAAAGAAGATGACAACGGTGAGGCAGGTCTGGCCATTGACAGCGGGACAACATCCTTGAGCCTTGAAGACAGCCATGTGCCTACAGAGTCCAGTATACCAGTTCAGCCAAAGACTAAGCCACCAACACCTATGCCCAGGAAAGAGGTGAGTGAAAAGTCCAATACTGTCATTGCAGTTGAGGGGCGGACGGGTAGCCTAGTGGTTAAAGCGTTTGCTCGTGACGCCGAAGAACCGGGTTCGATTCCCAACATGGGTACAATATGTGAAGCCCATTCCTGGTGTCCCTCGCCGTGATATTGCTGGAATATTGCTAAAAAGCGGCGTAAAGCCATACTCACTCACTCATTGCAGTTGAAGGATGCTATCCAAGTTTAATTCAGTATTGGAGGTAAAGGCCATTTACACAACATTCTGTATTTGAAAATATGACAAACTTCAATGTGGATGTGGAACAACAATCACGTCACATATACTGTTGATATATATCCCCAGATAGGGGAACATACAGATAATGAAGGTTCATGTTTTCTGCTGTTCAGTAAAATGTCCCATATCAACAGAACAAGTCACTGCGCAATCACAATATCTGTTCATGTTTGGATAAATGTAGAATGTCATACCAACACATATACTTTTTAAGCCTGTATCTCATTTCTTTCCTTAGGTATATTTTGACTAAGATTTGATTAAATTTCTTATTTCCAAAGTAGCCTTTGTTGATCAGAACAATCAATCAATGTTTCAGCAGGTATTTGTTCACTTTCTTCCTACTTAAATATGCCATCAAAAGCGTAAAACCTCCAATCAAGAATGATGTACACCATCTGTTACAGTCTCAGTACACGTCTAACTCCCTGCCTCGCATCAAGAGCTCCGACAACATGGAGGGAGGCCGCTTCAAGAAGAACTTCATGAAGCATGTACGCCGCTCAAGCGAGTCCTCCATGTTGAGGGATGTCCCAGAGAGGAGAAGTAAGAGTCACTGAGATCCCTCACTGCTTGTTGCTATACATAAATCTTGTAGTCCACTTTTATTTCTTCCTAATACATACACATGTCATGACTGATGGTATCTATGGGTACTTTTGGTACTTTCAGTATATTTCCCAAACCTCTCAAGTATAGTCCAATAGACTTTTGTAAAGTCTTCTGGCACGTTGCCTTCTGTACATGTTGGAATGGGTGGTTTCTCTAAAGTGCAGGGAATCATATAGTCATACTTTGGATCTCTTTCTTTTCAGGTACCTCAAAAGCAGAACTGAAAGAACAAGTTGAAAAGTTGCAGAAAGAAAACCAGAGTAAGTGTAGATTCATTTTTGCTGTGATGCGTTTCTCACTTCATTGAATTTATTATTTTGACAATGGTAGTCACATGCTGTAGAATGTCCTGCTCATCTGAACTGTCAATGGCTCAGTCATAAACACAGTAGCCAGGAGATGTTTATGGCTGGCAAGCTGTCATTCACCAAGCAAGGTTTTACTACTGGATTCGTGGGCCCAATTTGTACACTTGATGTGTTTGAGGTCTGTCATTAGTAATGATATATGACTACACACAGAAAGAAAGTTGTCATATATAAATAATCATGTAATATGTTGATGATTATTCGTCTGTTTTCAGCTCTGAAAGAAAACTACACGAAACTGCAGCTTGAGAACAAGGACATGCGTGCTTATATCGATCGCCTTCTGACAAAGGTGCTGGTACACTGTCCTGAGGCCCTGGAGTCAGATCCTCCCACGTTCTAATGACAATACGTCTTCCACAGATGGTGGCGGATAGATAATGAGGACTTTGACAAGGGCAGCTGATCTTTTCCCAGTGCCGTTGGGATTATTTTGTGTACTTCTGAGCTGATATGTGTGCAAGAACCTGTGAATGAGTCGTCTCAGTGGCATGTAGAGAGAAGATGGTGGAGGTTGCCTGCCTGAAGATACAGCAGAGCCAGCTTAAAGAAGTGTATTTTGAAACGTGGTTTAGTCTTGATCAACTACAGTCAATGTGTCTAGTTGCTTCTTTGCCTGCCCCACAATAGAGTGAATTCATTCAATGCAGATAAAGGTACTGGACTTCGTCACCCATGGCAGCAGAGACCTGGGATCTAGATTGGTGCCCCTTGCACCTGCTTAAGTGGAAAAATTGGAAATGTTCCAAATGAGTTAGAGAATGAAATTTATCATCAAGGAATGGAATATGCAAATGACAAAAACATTTTTAAGACGGGGGATTAAGGATAACTTTCTAGCCAAAGGAATGAATGCATCAGGAACTCACTCAATAGACTGACACAGAAACTACCACAAGACTGACACACAAGAAGACAAGTATTGGGTAGATTCTCCTCGTACACACTTTACCCTCTCATTACAAGAGGTTCGACTGGAAGAAGAGAGAATGTTATAGTGTGCACTGGAGAGATAAAAAGTGAAGATATATTTATCATTGATTTAGGGGTGATGTAACTAACTATGTGCCCAGATCTGAACAAGAGGACTGTTTGTTGGTGGTGATTTTTCTGAAAACCACTCCACAACTCATATCATGGTACCTACGATGGTAGCAAAGTATTTGGCAGGTGTATCATATCGTCACATCATATCCAACTGTCACTTGCGGTATGTGACAGGGATCAGGATTACTTCTAACTTGTTGGCTATGAGTTGCGCTGAAGTGGATTTGTCTCTTCAACTCAGGGATGAGACCTTTACTGTGGATTTCTGCGGATTTACCATGCACTGGTTTAATCTATTGACTCCTGTACATTTCTCAGCATTGAAGTTAATGACAATTGAAATTTGAATCATGTTGAAATCTTGTTGAAAATGTAAATGCAGTTCTTTCACTGTCATCCACAGCAGATTTTTGAAGACGTCAACAGCAGTCATCAAGATAGTAGTGTCTTCACACAGGAAGTGGAAATGAGTTATGCCCCCTTCTTGTTTACCAATATGCCAGAAGACTTTCTAATTCTAGTGTGCTGTTTTAAGTAATTTTGATATTGATTTGTTTGAAATTATGAAAGAAAAAATTCAACCATGAGGACATAATGAAAAACTGCGAAGCACATGTCAGTTTCGTGTTGACCCCTAACAGGGTTGATTGACTTCGCATCCTATGTGGTTACTATGCAAACATGTCCATCACCAGTTAAAGTTGTGCCATGAGTTTACATAAATATTTATTTGTCATTGAATGGCAGGAATGACCAAGACATCTTGACATATTGAAGAAATTTCACTATTAGGATTGTGGAGGATGTATATGAGAAAAGAATGAATCTCATTACTTTTGAAAAAACTAGTCATTTGTTTCAGTGTATTTGAAAACTAATATTGTGATTTACTGGTTGGTAGGTTGGCCAATCTCTGCAGTGTATATACCACTCTGTCACACAGATATGTACATTTACATCCAGCAAGACATGATTCTCCTGTATATTGTGAATCAGTATCTATCAAGTCAGCTAATATTTGTGATAGTTAACCAAATAAGTGTTGTTGACACTGAGACCTCTGTGACAATATGAAGACTTAAGGTGGCTGTTGTGGACATGCACTTACTGCCGTGATCGTAGTGAAGGAGAATAGATTGAAACTTTGCCACTGGCTGCTCGCCGGACATGTGTTATTCACCCTACCATAGAGATCTTACTGTGAATTTCTGCACTTCCCATCTCCGTTGATATTAGAGGTATATAATGTCTCAACTATCCCACCAACATAATTAACACTGGTATAACTTATGAGTACATTGTGTGTTAGAGCTATATTTTATATCTAAATATAACATTTAAAGGACTTGGTCACAGAGAAAACTATTCTATATATTTATTTATACCGATACCTGGGACCAGTTTTATCTATAGAGTTGTGTCAGCCAATATGCATGATGTAAGCAATGGGTATGTATTTATAACTGATCTGTTTTGTATTGATCACAACATCATGAAACGTTCTAATGTGTTATCTTTTCGAAAGGAGTATTTTCAATTTCAAGCACTTGTAACTTACATGATTTAGTTAGAGACCCCCAGTTTAGTATTCTGGGAGAGGGACTGAGAGGTTTTGTTAGAGACTTTTAAATACACAATATAATTATGTGAAAGAAGGACCTGAACAGTTTGTATGTTTCAAAACACATTTGTTTCCAGAACATCCACCATGTCTTGTGAACAGTTAACTGTGGAAAACCTGCGGGCAAAGGATTTTGTTAAGATCATCCTGGGCTCCCCGGGAATATTAAATAGTCGGTCCCTCATGTTCTGGAGAGTGTGAGTTATTTTCCACATAGCAACTTGACATGCTTAAGCTTTAAGCTATCTCCAAACTATTCAGAGAATTATTTTTTAGAATTATGCCTTTAGTGTGTGTATATATATGTGTATCATTTTGTGTTTATTACAAATGAATAATTTCCTGTGTAGAAGCTTATGCATATCAAATCACTAATGGCTGAATCTCCTATTTATTCTTGAATGGGCATATTTACTTCTCAGTTCTTTACGTAATTCACTTGCTTGTATTACACAAGTGTAACCTGTCATGACAGACATTTGTTAGTCATCTTGTTACCATGGTTACTCATTCTCTTGGTGCATTTTAATCTGAGTTGTGTCCCCTTGTAATCCTTCACTGATATTAGCCAACATGTATTCCAAATTTTTTAGAATCTATGAATTATTTAAGATTCAGTTTGTTAATCTGCATTTTGCAATGCGTCTGTAGAATTACTTGACCACAAGACACTTGTTGTCTCATACAACATGACCACATTTAGTTATTTGTGTTTACTCAAGTGAAGTTGTTACATGACTCATAGACAAGGTAGTATGGACTATTCTGTCCACAAAGTTTAGGTTGTGATGTCCAAAGAATATTTTCAGCATTATTTATCTGAGTATTTTCTTTTCTAGAGTAGAGATTTTATGTATATGTCAAAATGTTTTGATAATCTGTTTTCTTTCAGATGTTTGTTTGAGTGGAGTTGTGATTTAGTTTGACAGATGCTCTGGTTTTGTTTTCTGACATAATATTTAGCATTGACAAATTATGATCACAAATACTTCTTTGATTAGCAAACATGAATATTAACATGATTAATGCTAAATTAAGAATTTACCACAATTTTCGAAGTTCTCAGTTGTTTTCCTGATCTCCGAACTTTTCTATCTCTCCACTCCAGTAACTGAGCTTGTCTGCTGTGGTGACTGCCTGCTTCTGTACTTAACAATATGCAGTTTAATCACCGCACTGAGTCTTTGTATTCACTTGAAATAAGAGTCTCACATCATTATTAGTAGTCAAAATAATTTGAAATAGTTCGATGTGACCACTAGCTTGCCAATTTTGTTTCGGTGCAGTGATGATGCCGTGGTTATCTTACCATTGAGGAGTGTAGAGGAGGATATATACATGTTTAGGGCAGTTACATTGGTAAATGAAACACTCTGGCCCCTATTACATGGATAATTGATGTGTTATTGAAGCTTTGGTATTTATGGTATATCATGAGAAAGATCTGATTATTTTGTTCTTTAATTTATTGATAATGATTTTTTTCATGAAATCAGGTACTTGCAATTCTGCATTCATTGTCATCGGAATATTCTATGAACAAGTGCTATCATTTAAGTTGAAGGTTGATACTGATAGTTAGAAATGGTTTACCTAGTACACGTCAGTATTTATTCACGAGACTGTGTTCTTGAAATGACGTAAACACTGAAGGACTACTACTATATTCCTGTGGAAACCCCTGGGAATTCCCTTGCGCATATACTTACAGAGACGTTCTATCTGAACACTTGGACACTTTAATCTTCAACTCAGCATTTTAGCATACATTGAGAAACATCAGAAAGTTTGACTGCACGATCATTCACGAATATCCCTGCTGCGACCTATCCTAGTGAAGAAAACGAAGAAATGCACATCCACTATCGTAGTATCGACTCGATCTGTGTCTAGACTGACAACAGTTAAAGTCTACAGCAATCTACGAATTTACCTTAGTATCTATTTGACACATCTTTACAATCACCTTTCAATGATCAGCCAACTGATCTTTCATGACTAACTAATGTAACTGACACAGGTTCATTAACAACTTCGGATATCTCCCCCGTCATGTTTATCATGTCAGCCATTTTGATGTCTTGTACCTGATGTAAATGTATTATGATGCACTGTCATTGTGACTGACTTTGTAAGGTAGTTCTTAACAGACCTTTCTCACCCAATGAAGATATTATTTGAATACATTTCTTGTAAACAAACTACAACAGATGTTCATGTAAAGCAAGTTGAGCATACATACGCTCATGTTGCCTCTCTTTTTGGGAAACTTTTTATTCTGTGATACGGCTGGTTGTTGTATGGCTGTCAGTGTAGACATGAAATCACACATACAGATCTAGCGCTACCTCCCTTGAGGTATAAAATAGTGATATAAAAAACTCTGATGTTCATACAGTTTGGCCCTCACTCTATGAAGGTTCATACTCCAATGAACTCAAACAAATTGAATGTCAATTCTTCATTGCATTTATGGAGGTATAAACATAACAAACTGTGTACTGTGTATCAGGGTATGTTTATTGTTAAGTAGTCATGATTGTCAGACCGTAAACATGTCTACCAATTATATAGATGAAAACTATCCATGTAAGGCCAGTTATTATACATTCTTGTTTCCCAAGACTTTGTTTCAAAACAGACTGAGTAGTGAGGGAGGATTTGCTACTTTTCATTATTGTATAGTAGGCTACATTCTCTAGAAAACCTGATCCTCGGTACCACAAGGCATCTCCTGAAGAGACTGGGCTGAGGCCTTTCTGGTCATGTCCAGGTTCACTTGTGAGTCCTGACCCAGCTACATTACCAAGGACATGGCACAAGCACAGAAAAACAACATTTTAATCTGGTGCAAAAGAAAACTGAGTTTGAAAGTCATTTCTTATCCATGCTGGGGCAAGTGACAGGCAGGTCATTAGAAAGGAAAGACTTCCACCCATATCCCCCTCCGAAAGTTCTATATTTACAGCTTGCATGTTTCTTCTAACGATATGTTTTTGAAGGGGGATACGGGCAGAAGTCTTACCTTGAGAAATAAGATAAAACTAATATGAACTCATTTTAAGTATTTTCCAAGACAGATATGTAAGATGAATATAGATGTTTGAAGTGTTTGAGGCAGTGCTATGTCATAATTTCCATCAATAATACCTGCTATATATGTATTGTCTCAAGATACTTTGGATGAGTGATCTATGTTGGCTGAGAGATGTGTGAATGTAGTCCCATAGAGTGAGCCTACAGTAGCCTCTCCACACAAACTGCATTTAGTGGCAGAATCTCATGTTATCAGTCCAGATGTCTGTAGAAAGCAGTAGCTTTGAGTGAGGAAAGTATAGCTGGTTATTTTGATGTAAGATAAAAGATGAGATTACAAATTGTATAATCAATAATTTTACAGTAGAAATTGTCATTTCAGTCAGGTGTTTTGAAAGACACAGATGGCACAGTGTATTTGGATAAAATATGACCTGTCTTATACCATTCCAATTGTTGTAGCAAACATGGCATTAAGCTGTGATTATTGTGTGTATTCCCATTCATTGTCAGAATTAGTTGATATTCCAGCCCCGTGAAAGGCTTGACTTAATGCACACAGTCCTCAATGTGGTTAGCTCTGCAATTGTGAAATATTTACATTCCAAGTGCTAAATGTCAGTTATTAGTAATTAATATGGGGGCTACTTTGGGGCTGTGAAGGTGGGGCATCCATGAGTACACTTTAACAAATGTCAGTCTCTCCACATGTTTGCCATGATGTTTAGGAACACTTTCCTGGCTTGCTCCTATGGTCCTTCCCAGAAAAAAAACATGCAAATATAAATTGGGAAAAATGAAATCTACATGAAGATCCTCTCAATGACATTTGTTCCATGACCCACCTCTAAATTGTGTTATTTTACACCCCTCCCCTAGACCTGAGAGGTCTGTCTCCCCTCCCATGTTGAATGGCTGTCCGTGCTCACCCGGCCTGCAGCAGGGAGCACTTGCCCAGGGTACCACTCATGTGATAGCAACTCATCTAGGTATTCATTGACCAGTCTCCACAACTGTGTCAGGGTTGTACAAACTGGATGAGGATCTGTTCAGTTCCCAAATTGTTTGATATGCTAAAATTGACAGGTTGGTCAATCAAGAGTCTTCCATGAAGATGCATGTGTGCCATGTAGAGACTGCACATACAGTGTCTGTGATACAGTTCAATAACAGGATGCAAAAGTAATGTTTTAGTTACATGTTCACAGTTGGTTTGTTGTCTTAGTCACATGTTTTCAAGAAATATAAGAAATAATTTGTACCTAAATGTTAACAGTTCAAACTTAAAATTACTGAAATTGATCTGGTTGTGGTTTCGCACAATATTTGCACACACTAGGAGCCACGTTAGTATAGGCAGTCATGTCATGATACAAAGTTGGTAAAACAAAGCTTAAAGCTTGTCAGTATAAAGTAAAGTTTGTATTGGTTTGAGTTGAAGTATGTGCTGATTGAGCCACAGAGGCTTGGAGTCTAAGACAGCCATTTTCAGAAAGTGACGCACATTCCTTTGATTACGGACATACACAGAGTTCCCTTGTAGGTTTTTCTTGATAAACGCCACTTTAAATGTCAGGTCGGTAGTCTAATGTCAGAGTGGACAACTTCTCTGCGTCTCCCACACACCCACAACCTCCTCATTCCCCCAGACATTTCTCATGGAGACTTCATACTTCAGGTACAGGCAATTAAAAGACAGTTTTTGTTTAAGAGTTTCAATTCTTGAATATTTTTTATGTGTTATTTTACCTGGGATTTCTGTAAATGGCAAGGGCAAGTAACTCTAAAAGTGCTTTAGCAAACTAAAAAAACCTTATCTCATTTATTTTAAATTTAGAATGTATTTAAAAAGTGAACGCTTGTCATTTTGGTGTAGGTTTGGTGCCTGCGTCCTATAGCTTGCCATTGAAGCAGTAGAATTTCCATTTTATTACCCAGACATACAGACATATCAGGTCTGTATTGGAGGATGTGGTCACTTGGTCCCACTGGTGATTCGCCGTCTTGCCCTGAAGATTACACTGTCGACCTGATCACACTGCAGGCTGGAGTCATGGGGCGAGAATATTGTCATGACATGTCATTCAGTTTGAAATGTTATATTGTCCTGGGAAACAAAGTACAAGCTGAGACTTGAGGTATTTTTTGTTAACACTGTGGCCCACAGCTGTTGTGTACTTCTTTGATATCCTGTGGGTTAATCTATTGCGGCTGTGGGTATTGCATGTACAGTCAGATAATGGACACAAGTATCATGGTATCAACATTCATATTGTTCCCATATTATTTATTTATATAAATAAAGGTATTTTACCATTGCAGGATTGTCTTGTTTTACTTCAAAATATAACCAGATAAGCTGGTAAGAATTGAAAAAGAAATACATTAGCAAATGCTTGAGAATGTGAGGTGAAAAAGGCCTCTTCTCATCCTGGGGATATTCCACTTTATTGGACAAATTACCACTTCCTGAGATCTAGTTGAATGTTGAGAGCATTTGTACTGTTACACAATTACCAACATAGCCAAAGGAGTACAACTATTGGAATAGTATTGGGAAAGTACCTCTCTTGTCCTACAATTTTGTTGTGAGTTAAAGAGGGAACCCTTGATTAATGTCGGATATATATGTCTGAACAATTTCTGAATGGATGCCACTAACTAGCTATATTGACAAATAAAATGCTCACCAGAGAAGCAAGGTGTACTTGGAGTAAAAACAAATGGAAATAACGAGCAGTAGGATTTCCATTTTATTACCCACATTGATATCACCATTTAGTTCTTACTTACCGTATTTGACATAATAAGCACACAGGGGGCTCTCAAAATTAGTTGTAAGATCATAAATTTTGTGGTGTATGCTGACTGCCACAAAATAAAAGTCTGTGCGTATTTTACACAACAAATATATTTTTCAAGAATTTAATTGACCATAATTAAGGGTGCATATAACACATGACTGCATATTATACACGAATAAATAAGTCTTGTGTACATTGATCATTCAGAAGGGGTGCTAATTGGGATTGTTTACTAGCCAGTATATTACCAAATACCCCATGGGCGCTTTTTAGAGCTGGGCGCTCTTTAAGTCGAATACGGTATTTAGTTTCATATAAGTTGCAAACTAAATCCTTATACGCAGAAATAACACAAAACAGAATTACATTAAATATGTTTTATTCAATTCTTTCATATCCGAGAGTAGCACAGATAATACATTTATAATGGCTTACAGTCTTTCATATCATACAGTCATACAGAATCACAGAACGTAGAGAGCAAGCACAACAGTTGCAGGAGGAGGGGCACAGTGGGGTCTCACAAACAACCAGTTTGGGGAACACCCATCATCACTGGGAGATAGGTCCACCTTTGGTTACATGGATCATGTACACGACAATTCTTGGAGAACAAATCGGTCAAGATTTTACACATTTATGCTATGAAAGCAAAGATGAGGTTGTCTATGAAGCAGGGAAAATCACATGTTATCAAAGAGACAAAAATGTGTATTGAGACTATTAGCTCCTGTATGTTCTTATAGCAAGGAGTAAATCCATTCTGATGAACACTTGAATCAATTCAGTTTGTGTGGAATATTCTATGAAACTGGGACAACACCTTTTTTAACAAGAAACCCCATAACAGGAAACAAACAATTTGCTTGGTGATGTTCTCAATAAATCAGTCTTCAGACACTCCCATATATCTTAAGACACAATGAATAAATAATCAAATTCAACGTGGAAACTATCAACAATTTGTATATTCTTTTATGCCTGCTTCCACAAAAGCAACACAGTTTTTCTCATGACATGAAGACTTGAACACCTACAGAACACTGAAGTTTGGAGTTACCTCCCTTGGACCACAACACTGCTACAACATGGACATTTTTTTCAACAGCATATTTAGCAATGAGTACAATTCTTTGAATATCACTTTATAATAAATAATATGTCGTAATCTTCAGTATCAATTGCACACAAAAATGAAATGCACTTCAAAACAAACTTTTTGTAGTCAATAGAACACACTACATTGAGATACTGTTGTGTGTTATTGTTCAATACCTACATGGAGAGGGGACAATAGAAATTATTCCTGTGAAATTAATATCTTGCAACAATGCTTGCCATACATTTGCATGAGTGAATAAGGATAATACCTTGGAGATGTGATATAGTTACAGTTTCAAAGACAAATGGATGTCTTTTAGTCATATAAGCAATAATGAGCTGCGATCTGACTTCATGACAATATTATGCACACATGGAACATTATCACAATGGGTAGAAATACAATCCCATTACAGGTTTCTGTTTGCCAAGTGAGAAATGCAAACAGTCATTGCAAAAGTTCTATTTCTTTCTTAGCCTGATAAATTCCAATTTCAAAATGTCCTCATTATAATCATGTTATTATCTATCTGAATAAAATGGAATATTTATGCCTCTGATAATGCATTTAAAATTAGGGTAATAAATCCAATTGATGCAAGAATATTTTTTGTACACTTGGAGAAATGCTGGAAAGCTTGACTAAGAGTTCCTTTTCATGATTCAGTATGTTTGTATACTACTGTTGACTGAATGCAGACTGGTAAATGCACATATGTTATAACAGGGATCTAGACAAGTTACACCCAAGGACATAATGTACATTGTTCCAATGTATTATTAGAGACAATACATCTATTATTCAGGATTCACAGAATATTATGTCATTCACACAGTGGCAACTGAAGTGGGGATTCTTGGGAAAATCCCATCTGTCTAGACATTAAACATCTCACCCCTCTGTACAAGATCAAATCATTGATACATTTTACATGAGAAATATATGTGTCCTTAGATAAGTGAAACCTGACAGAAATGGACCAGGCGAGAATTTCTATAAACCTTTCGTTATAGTGGTGAAAAAGTATTTCAGATTTGGGAAATTGGGAAACGCCAATCAACTTGTGCCAAAAAATATCTTCTTGAACATTCTCTGTTCAATAACTCCAACGTGACTTGTCAACTTAACCTTTTTAGATCAACATGAAGACATATTATCAATATTCTGAGATAGAACTACAAGGAAATCCTGTGGTGAATGTTTGCCTAATTTACACCACTGTCCCATCTTTCTAACTCATTCTTCAAAAACATGACCCATGTTCCAATCTGAGATAGCCCCTATTGAAAATGGGACAACTTTCAAGACAGGATTGTTCTCAACTCTTTTATTATCACTGTGTTAATATCCAGATGCTTGTGTCTAACCATGTTGAGGAACTGTAAGTTAACCAGGCCCATGTGGACTGTGCCTCAAGTATTTACTGGTTCACTGCTGGCAATATTGTACAGTAAGATCACACGAGCCAGGGCCAGGAAGTGAGAATGAAAGCACGTCAACACAATATTATTGCACATATATCATAATCCATCATTTTTCTATAACAAAACTGTTCTAGGTTCAGTCCTGGGTCTAGTCCTAGGTTCAGTCCTGGGTTCAGTCCTGGGTCTAGTCCTAGCTTGGGGTACTAGCAACACTATTTACAGTAGCAAGCTATTAAAATCAGCATGGTCCAAAACTGGAAACTGCAAGCTATGTCCGATGTACATACCGGTAATTAAATGTGGTTACTATACAGAGCAAACTGCCTGATACAATGGAATATCAAATCAGAGTCAAATATCATTCAACTGTTCAATCTTTAAGTGTGTACTATTACACAATTATATTTTAACAATTCATAAACAACACATATATTTCAACTACAATGGTGAAAGAGCAACATTCTCCCCATTCAACTACCTTTCCTATCTGGATGTATATGGGACCACCAAGAAGCAGCCAATGCAGCCATATGGAGCACAAGGGTGATGGGTCAGCATTAACGATTGGCGCCACAAACGATTGGCGCCACATGGTCATGTGATGCAAGTGGCTGGGACATTTGACTTTTTGGAATGTTTGATTGACTGAGAATAAATACACTACAATACACAAATACCTTGAGTTATTTAGACATTTAATTTTTAATATTTGATTCAATGAAATGATCAATGAAACCCATAACCTTTATTTTTAAACATAAATCCCGCTTCCAACACTTCTTTAATAAAAACAACCACAAACAATTTGTATTTCACTATCCCCTAAACAGAAAGAAATACGGAACACAACTAAGATGTCAATCATCACTCAAACTGAAAAAAATGTGCCAATATTTATGAAGAAATTATAGCGGTGAACATTAATTACCATTGACTTATCAACTAAACCAAATCTTGAATAAGGAATACTGTTCAAGTATTCATATAAATGCTTCACAAAGATACCTTGTGGTTAACCTTGACAGAAAGACATTTGACAATCACTGTACAATTGAAACAATTCTCCCAAGACTACACTATACACTTGTACAAATTGTTCCATGACTGAACAGCTTCTACCATACAAGATGAAGCGCTAATATAGATGGTTCACCTGGGTCATTAGCATGTGACACATCTGTGGAAGATCTAGGGGTTCTCTTACCAGGACATACTGCAGTGACCTTCACAGGCATGGTAATTCAAGCATCGGGTAATGTACAGGGGAACGATGAAACTGATGCTGCCTGATGAAGCTCACAGAACCTCATCATACAAAATGCACATCTTAATGTTCAGGTAAGGTGAGAATCATCTGCTTCTCACAGGATGACACAGGGGACACTGCAGAGGCCTTGACAGGCATGGTAACTCAAGCATCAAGTAAGGTGACAACCATCTGCTTCTTTCAGGATGGGATTCTGCAGAGGCCTTGACAGGCATGGTAACTCAAGCATCAAGTAAAGTGACAACCATATGCTTCTTTCAGGATGGGATTCTGCAGAGGCCTTGACAGGCATGGTAACTCAAGCATCAAGTAAAGTGACAACCATATGCTTCTTTCAGGATGGGATTCTGCAGAGGCCTTGACAGGCATGGTAACTCAAGCATCAAGTAAGGTGACAACCATCTGCTTCTTTCAGGATGGGATTCTGCAGAGGCCTTGACAGGCATGGTAACTCAAGCATCAAGTAAAGTGACAACTACTGCTTTGATCCAACTTACAGAACAGGTACTCAACACAGGTACTTATGCTCAATTTGAACACTTGAAGCTTCTAATTACTTAGACTATACGTAATCTACCATTTTACTGAGAACTGTGTTACAATATTATGTTTCTTATTTAGATAATTTTGACACTTCACAATTGACTTCTTAGCTTGAAGCAACAGCTCACTACAACACACTAGCACGGAATACTGAACAATATCACATGTAATAGTTACCAGTGAAAGGTATGTTATGACCAGAAATGTTGCGAGATACACAAAGGAAGTCACAAGAGGTTTGGGCATCACTGGAACCTCAATAGAACAATCAGTGGACTTCGCTGACCATGCAGGGCAGAATCAACCACCATGGAAACACAGTATCTTCATCTGTCACCTTCGCAGTGTACAGTTGCATAATCAGATGGCCAGCTTCCGTTGACCAGTGGACACTCCACAAATAAGACATAGTCTAAAATACTTGACCCTGCAGAAGGGATGATTCTATCAACACAAGTTGCAAATCCGTGCAATAATTCTATACATGCTTTTCGACACATGCTTTATTTTCAACACTGAAGAGTAGTATTTGGTGTGATGATTTGTCCTGCTATGACACACTGTTGGTCATATCCATTAACACTGGCTATAGAAGAACTTGTAGCAATGTCATGTGGAATGTTCTGAGGCCTCCAATAGACTGCTCCTTGACACTGAACACAAACATGGAGATATACACAGTCCAACATGACACTTTTCCACATTGGGATATATTTTATAGGTTTGTCTGATATAAATGAACAAGTAGGAAATGACACCTTTAATAGCTTGACAGTCCATATTGTAAAGCTGTGCCCTGCAATATTCTGAAGTACAAAGCATCAATGTAGGCCTTCCTCACCATATCTCATGGCAGACATCAGTCTGATCAGACTACAGTATAAGTTACTCCTCCCAGATCTAGCTGTAGTCTTCCCTTGGCCATTACTCTCAAAGCACCATAAGTCACAAATTCACGAACATGTTCTCCTTAAACAGAACCTGTTTACCCTGAAAGATCCTTCAAAGATCCTTCAAAACATCTTCCAGCACAGCACTATTCCCACAACACTAAACAGTTGCATATTATGAAGATCCACCAGGTACTCATGCAGATCATTCATCTCCACACTGCGGATAATGTATAGGGGAAAGATGAAACTGATGCTGCCTGATGAAGCTCACAGAACCTCATCATACAAGATGTACATTTCCATTTTCACAAATTATTCAAAGCAAAGCTTGATATATGCATGTTGGCCCAGATGGTATGCATCAGTGCATCACTCACAGTCAAATCACAAAGGTCAGCAGTGGTCAAGACCTTGAGGCTGTCTATGTTCTTGGTGGGAGAGTGACCACTGGTGACCACACTGACTAGAATGGTGCTGCCTCCTCCTCCAAGGGGCAAGGCTACAGTCGTGGGAAGCAAGTCTTGGCATACAATACTGTTGTGTCTATAAGTAGTGAGGTGTGTCTTGACCTGTCAGCAGACGATAGATGGACGTTGGCATGGTCTTCATGTGGATCTGGAACAACACAAACAGGGTACTTCAATAAATCACACAGAAAACGTTACCAATTCAACAAAATATTTTTCAGTGACACATGCTCCTCACATAATCTCATGCATCTGCTGCTGTAACATACAGGTATTGATTGATCCGTAGAATCTGGTAGTTCTGACAATAACAATGGATAAATGTCTTGGAGATCAAATTTCATTCGATAATAAATACATCGCAAGGATGCAATGCTTTTTGCTTTTATGTTTCCATAAGCTGAAAAAAAATTAATCCACACCCAATAACAGACAACTGTTTCCTGATTGGCTAATAATAAAATGGATGTCACTGATTTCGTACTGATGTCTTCAGCTTTTTTGTGTTTTAATGATTAAATTAGCTGTCCGTGAAGTCATAGTTGACATATTTATTTATAATAATTGATTTCAATATGTTTTTGTGTTTATGGAGGCATAAACGTACAACCTGGAGAGCACACTACATGGATTTACACAGTACGCACACCCATATTTACATTCATGCCTCCATGAACACAAAATATATTGAAGTCAAATCTTAAATATCTTAATGTCAACTGTATTTTGTTACTGCTTAATTACATCCTGCTCAAGAATTCGTAAACCGCACATCGTAATGTTTAGCTGCAAGTTTATGCAGTGAAACTTTCTGCATGCCACAACATTTCTTTTAAGAATTGTCCAGAAATTAAGGGTCGTGTGGACATCATGTTAAGACATCATGTGTCGTCTGCTGTAAGGATCGCACTTGTGTGCAAACAAAATGGCATGGAAATCAAGAGAATTGTCATCTGATGTCAACTGCTTGCATCCTTATTCGATGCACATATAAAAAATCTGCAATCGTCCCATTTTCTCAGTCACTTGCATATTCCCTGAGCACCACAGGATTAAGATTGTTATTAGATTTGAATCATGTGCGTTGCACCTCATCAGCTTGATTTCCTGTGCCTCCATGACTCACTTGTGGGAAACAAAAAATCCATTGATTTGGTAGTTTACTCTTGCAGATAATGACTAAAAAAATGATTACTGACACTTTAATAAATCAATGTTTTCATCCTCACCTTACCTTGCCAGTCATTATTATTGATTTTCTGTGAATATTGTTTGTCTCCCACAGCGCACATACTGTTTTGTACAAGTCTTGTTGAGGAATCAATAGGTATGACTTGATAAAGCCAGTCTATAAAGCATCATAAAACATACTGCCATTATTCATTCACTTTTATCTCTGAAAAATGTACTCACAATAATATCCCCACATGCTAAACAACAAACGTAAGTCTGTCAACCTTTTAGATTCCAATTGTCTGGTGCTACTGTCCTACTTTCTGTGACAAGTCACACTTTTATGCATATCATTTTCTTTTGAGTTAGATAACATAAGTTTTTATATCTACCTTTTCATCCAGACGGGTACATTAATTTGACAAACATATTGACAAACCAGTGTGTGAAATAGTCTCAAAACATGGCTGGCCAGGTGGGCTATTTAGTCTTACAAGTTACTTGCCAGTTACAATTTCACTAGCTATTTTTCGTCCCCACATTGTTTGACATGGGTAGTCACAGTTTGTAAAGTTACACAGCTGGCGATTGGTTAAACTACAAACTGCAACCAATCAAAACAGCGTTACAGTGACAACAATCACTAAAGCAAGCGGATAACTCTAACCTTGCTACATTGATCAGTTACAGATACTAATATTTTTATTTTTTATTTTTGATGGTTATATAGATCTAGACATGGGAAAACGTTTTCTTTATTCTAACCAACTAAGAGGTGCTCATTAAAAATTCACCATTAAAATTTAAGTAGCCAGTCGTGCTTGAGACATTTCAGAACCTTCAGCTCACCCAAAATTTTGCTAGCCAGGGTCTAGTGGGCAGGCGGCCATTTTGCAACATATTAGTTAGATCTAGAAACTTGTACTACATAACAAAATGAGTAATATTACATCCGTATATTAATATTGATAGACCCAGAAACATTTCTGATATGAGACCGTGAGCCTGAGGAAATGTCTAGGTACAATTTCATAAGATATTGCATTTTTCACCCTAATATCCAATACAAGCTATATTTTCAGCACCTCGTCTGGAAATAGCTTTCATCAAACAGAGGATCAATGGTTCTTTATGCTGTTATTTCCTGCCCTGATCACACAAAATTGATTCAGTCTGCATCGAGAATGCAAATAATAATATATAATTGATTCTCTAAGACTTGCTGAAGATGGCAACACTGAAGATTGCTGGCTACTTTAGGTGACCAAAGTCATGAAATCATCAGGTAATCTCGCAAATTTCTTGCGACCATGTCAAGGCTGACCCAAACAACAACGACATAATAGAGAAGTGACCTTGCGACAAAATTTATGAAACCTGATTCTTAGGTGGAGCATTTGACTTTGGTTGTCCACGTTTCATGTGATATTGGTTCCGTGAAGAAACACAATCCTGTAATTCTACACAACCCAGGGGATGATGCCAGGATTAGGGGGTAGATCCAGGACAATTTGAGACATTATTCAAGTTGTCAGTACAGCCCCACCAGAAGGGAAGCATGGTAGACAGGTCTGGGCAAACACCAGTTACTACCTGGGCAGTTCTCAGTATGGACAGTAAATCTAATTTCAGAAGCAAATGAATCATAAACACACCATAAAGTCAGGAATCGTTTTTCCAAGAACAAAAGAGATATCTTCCTCGGTTCTCTGTACATTGATATTTACATGTATAATTATAATACTTCAATAAAACAATAAAAAAATTGTGTTTATGTTTTAGATGTATTGATATTTAATGTTCTCTTTTTTCTTAATACTGGTTTTGATCTAGATCTTTATAGCAGTAACAGGCAGTTCTTTCATTCCAAATTGTCTTCTCCTTCACATGTTTGTATTTCTTCATTTATCATTCACATATTTCTGTTCCCGCCATGCGGCTCAAACCAAAATGTGGGTTAGGATCCTTTCACACTGGTTTTAGCACTATCATGATGGGGGGCACTTAGAATAGGCTTCACACATTGTGGGCCATTCTAGGATTCAAACCAGTGTCTTCAGCTTATTAAAAGCATGACTACCCCAGTGCCCTAACAAAGGTAAGTGTGACAAGGTCAGCCTGTCTGTGTCTGCAGCTGTGTGAGGGAGAGTAGGTCATCTTTAATGGCAGTGTGTTTATAGTATATATATGGTCTGCAGTGCTGTGCAGTGCTGTGCTGTGCTGTGCTGTACCCAGGCCGCTGTGTTGTAGACATGCTTGAAACTACATTAAACTTGTTATATCATCAACATTTGTCTCTTAAAACATTTCACTCCATGGCGTCCTCACTTTGGTATGAATTAATGAAGGACATCCTAAGTGACAATTATTCATTACAAAACTCATGGAGCCTATTTATTCACACCTTCCTTCCTTCCTCCCGAGCGAGGGGGTAAATAGTAGAATGGACAGAATGAAGAACAAGTTATCTATATCCCTCGCCCCTTTCAAAAACTGCATAACATCACAAAAAGTAGACATACTTCATTATACCCAAAAAGGTTCATCATTCAAAAGTTTAGAGTACAAATGACATTAAAATTGATGACTAAACCAAATAATTCCCTCTATTCTTTAAATGCTTTCTAAACCTTCCAAGGATGTGAGTTATTAAAGGTACTTTTTTAACAGTTAAGAGATTTTCATTGGAGAGTAATGTTACATTTATTATTTTCAAAACTCTAAATCCTAATTCCATAACAAACACACAAAACATACATGAATAGATCTATGATGCTGTATATGTTTTAAAAAGAAACACTGCATAATGAGCAAGAGTATGATGGCACTCAATCAACCAAGTCACCAAGCCTGACAAACTGAGCCATTTAGTTGCCTCTCAAAACAAGCATAGCTTGCTGGGGACCTATTTTAACCATGAATTCCAAGATAGTATGATGCATGATAATTGGTTTGCTTGTCAAGTTCTCTGCAAAATTAAACCCTCATTTGAACCTTAATTTATCTTGTGATTGTATTGGAATTGCAACCTTTAAAACTAAATGAAAACATCAGTTCAGCACTTGCCTGATGTGTCTACCAAATTTCACAAAGAAATGAGAAACACTTTATGAGTTATGCTCTGGAAATGATCCCTACCTTTATTTGAACCTTTCATTTGAACCTTAGTCTAACTTGTTGCCTTGGATATGCCAAAACAATTAATATTTCAAAACTTCCTGAATAGCAAAAGGCAGCAGTTCAGGGCATACCTTATGTGTGTACAAAGCTCCTGAAAAAAATACTGAATGCTTCATGAGTTATGCTCCAGTAAAAAAAACCTACACACGTTGGAATCTTCTGTTTGGAGGCTCGCCATTATTACTTATCCAACCTGACTGAATTTTCTAACACTTGTTATTATCATTACTCAGTATGTACATAAACATACATATAAAAATGCATATTTAAAATGTATATCACTGTGTCAGCTTAAAGTGGGAGGAAAACCAAAAGTGATGCAGATCATCGACATTTCCAATTTGGTGAAACCCACAAACACACTGGTATAGTCTTGGCAAAACATTAACCAGAATTTGAACTCATGATCCAAGATCCTGGCATGGCAAAGGGACACAACTCCCTGAACAATGAGTTGCTGTGACACTGGGCCTCCATGTCCCAGCTATGATGAGAGTTCAGCAGCTGGTGTATTGACAGGCCACTGAGGACTCATGTACTCACCTCTCCTACAGAGTTAGCTAGAAGTGCTACGATCTTCTCATGCGGTACCGCTACCACACTCTGATTGTTGATCTCGATGATTCGATGTCCGACCCTCACACCACCCCTCTCAGCTATGCCTCCACGTAATAAACTGCAGATCTGGAGCAGACAGGCACAGCATTAGAGGAACATCAACTCTCATCTCAGTTTATCAAGTTTAACAAAGCTTACATAACATTTTATGACAGGCTATCGCTAGTCGATTTAGAATATAAACCACATGATTTCAGATTTGAGTTGTTATAGAGTATAAGTTCATTCTGAACTGAAGGTTCCGCCAAAGGTTTCAATCATCCATATTTCCAGACATTGACAAAAAAAAAATGTTATTTATAATTTTAGGCAGTACTCTCTTCTGATGTTTACTTAAAGAGCTGAGAGACAGACATGACATCACTCTGGAATACAGTGGTGTCATCAAGTAGTGGATGACATCATAATGATCCTATGCTTCAATGACCAAAGTCCCATGTTGGTAAAATGCAGAGTAAAAGACTAAGAGTTTCTTTTCAGTAGTGAATGAAACTCAAAATTCAGTGATTACAATATTCATTATGTCATGTTGAATACCCCGTAGGGGACTGAGAAATTTAACTATATGTATCGAGAATAGTATTAACATGAAAGACTACGATTTTGTTAAAAAATGTTGATTTATAACCAATCAGATTGTGCCACACTCTAACGATTGTCTTATAATATTTAGTAATGTTCTGTAAAATAATTTCAAAAAGATAAATTTTGAAAAATAAACCTTTACATCCAAACCAAACACGGCTGAGCAGAATTGTCATATTTACCAAAGAAATTTGGAATGTTACACTTTGGGTTGACTGTGTTTCAGATGTTAAGTGAAATGTCACCTGCAGCCATTGTGATCATCCAATCCCCCATTTAGTGAGTTGTTATAAGTTTGGGATTCTGGGGACCTATTTTGCCAACATGGTTTGTTTTAAAAAGACATTTTCATGCATTACATGTTGAGAAAACCACAATCTTCTCCATTTGGGGTAATGAAAGGTAATAAGTGAGTAGTGTATCCTCAAGGCCTATTTTCTGAGTTTTACAGGGATATGACCAGAGAAAAGTGTTAGGTACCGTACAGCTCAGCGGGTTGGAATTGATTGTTGGTTTAATGTGGCATAAAGAGTACAATTGGAAATGATGATGAGCTAAGGACTGTGTTTGGAGGTGGCATCCAGCATGGATGTCAGGCTGGAGCTCAAGTTGATGATGATGATGTTGAAGAGCTTGGAAATGAGGTCAGGATGGGGTTGTGGCTGGAAGCTACACTTGAACTATGTAAAGTGTGCTGCAAATGTTGGACTCTGGCAGTTTGGACTTAGCTGAAGGCAAGGTTAACAATGAGCAGGCTTTACTTCATGCATTGTCCCACTGTTTGTATGTACAAGGCTCAAAGACGTGTGTGTCACAAGTACTGTGCAATCAAGTGGGGAAAAAACAGTTCTATTAAGTCACTGCAAGGCAATACTCATTTCAGGCACTATTTGCTATAACGGTGTGTACATAACCTTCAAAGTTTAGTTATTGCCCCTTATCCAATGGATATCTTAACCACTGCACTTTTTGTTTTAGTCTCTCAGACCAGTGCCAGCGTCAAGGCCTGCAAGTCCCATGTCACTGAATCAATAAGTTGATACTGACCACCCCATTCTGTACACTGAAGCCGAGCTGGTACTTGACGTCCGGCCGCTTGATGAGGACCTCCACCACTGGGGGACATGGCACCACCGTCAGCTTGACCACCGTCTGTGGCTTGGACGTCTGCAATACAACACAACATTATTAACTAGTACTTCATTTCAACCACAGGGCAGCCGAGATAAGATAAGAAAAATCTTGATTACATTTTTATACTCTTTTCATTTTTAATGGGAAAAGGGACCGGTGGATCCATGATCCAACTGACGAAATAATGGCCTGGTCTAAAGAGATTGAAATGCTACCATTTAAGTCCCATCCTCTAACAAAGACTTACATTAGTCTCAGTGCTACGATTACTTTGAGCATGTGAGCAACGGTTAGGGTTTCAGACGGGTTACCACCAAGCAGTGACATTACAGAATACAAGAGCTGGCATGAAACAGCCTTTGAAAGCAGTATCTCCAAATCAAGGGAGTGGAATCCAGACTGTAGATGCCAACACTAACTGCACCACTTGATGCAGAGCAAGGATGCACAGAATGGGAATGATCTGGTACTGCAAACAAGTGAGTCTCAAAGGATACTAGTTTTGGTGCTTTCCAGGAAAATAAGTAGTGATATAAAATACTCATGACGGTATTGAAAAAGATTGGGTTTTTTGTTATAAAGAAGTGTAATCTCAGCAACATACAAATAGAGTATGTGAAAAGTCACTGTTCTTCCTGTATAGACCAAACATAATCTACCCTGAAATCAACAGGGTCAGAACTCCATTAATATCTCAAGAATCTTATTTAAAAAAGTGCCAGCACTGTAGCTCACCTGGGTATGTATGCTGATAACAGTTTAAAATATCAAAAAAGACAAGCACTTATAAGAAGCTGCTGTCAGCAATGATGTTCAAATATTTTCTGCATAAACACTGAGGATAAAAAAACTATTTTCAGAGGAAAAGAAGTATACAGAGCCGACTAGGCAATTTGTATGAGCAGCATCAAAACACAAATGTCAAAGCTAGGTCACACTTTTAAATATTGTGAAAAAAATATGTGTTGAATCCTACAACTGCTAACACATATGCCAAATGTCACAACATATTGAACAAAAATGGCTAAATAACGGCCATATATATGTTTGAAAATCAAAGTGTCATCAGGGGTGGTACCAAGCATGTGAAGCTTCAGTGGTTTTGTTGGAGAAATGTTTACAGTGTAAGCAAATGCATTTGGAGCGAATTTAAGTAGAAGATTAAATAAAGGTCAAAATGTAAGATATGATTTAGAACGTGTAGACCCACTTGTAACTACATACATACCAAATGTCATTACATTTTGACCGAGTATGTTTCAAGGCCACTTTAAGCAATATTCCAGGAATATCACTGCTGGGGACACTAGAAACGGGCTTCACACATTGAACCAATGTCAGGATTCGAACCCGGGTCTTCAGCGTGACAAGCGAATGCTTTAGCCACTAGGCTCCCCGACTGCCCTTATTACATTTTAAACAGACATCACTGAGTCATGGCTATGAAGAACTTTTTCAATGTGGCTGCTGTGTCGACTATGTTGAACATCACAGTCACACCTCACAAATAAATTGGGATGACATCGTTGGTGGGAACAAGCATGTGAAGTTTTAGCCCCATTGGCCAAGCAGTTTCTGAGGAGAAGACAACGGATGGTAGGCTGATGCCAGACGCCATACAAACAGGCCATGACATAATTTCAATCGACTTTCATTCAGGTAAGCTAAATACTCAATGTCTATTTCTTATCATGAAAACCACCTGCAAAATGTCTCAACAATGTCAGCACTATTACCTTCCTGTCATTGTTTGATCAGTGGATGGACAAAAACATTTTCTGTTTCTTCTTCTCACTTTGTGGCAGGGAATAACAGTATGGGTGTTTTCCTGATCAGAGAGTAAAATCAGATACACCTTACATGTTGTCGCACACACCCAAGATCTGCTTAAAAGGAAGCTTACAATACCAGACTACTTTTGTTTCTACACTTTTTACTATGTTAAGACCTAAGTGGTAGTTACAATACTGGAGCCATGAGAAGAAAGTGATTTCCATGGTGACATATTTACTATAGGTCTACCAACCACTGACTTTCTTTAACATATATACTCTAGTTCAAAGAACTTAAAGCATCAATCAATTGCTATATGGCTGCGCTTTTGTCAATGTGAACACAAAATGTATTATTTGAGTTGGCGTGTCAGCTTAATGTGGGAGGAAAGCCCGAAGTGATGCAGGTCTCAGACATTTACCACTTCTGTGAAACCCACGAGCATGGGTATGGTACTGACAAACCTAGAAACATAATCGGGGCGAACCTGGATTCGAACCCACAATCATAGGTTTCTAGCGTGTCCAAAGGACGCAACTCTGCAAAGCGAATTGCGGTGCCTTAGACTACTGGGCCACCCGTGCCCCCCAGGTACACATGACACTGAGACTCAAGCTGTGTAGGGAGGTACACATGACATGGAGACTCAAGCTGTGTAGGGAGGTACACATGACACTGAGACTCAAGCTGTGTAGGGAGGTACACATGACATGGAGACTCAAGCTGTGTAGGTAGGTACACATGACACTGAGACTCAAGCTGTGTACGTAGGTACACATGATACTGAGACTCAAGCTGTGGAGGGAGGTACACATGACATGGAGACTCAAGCTGTGTAGGTGGTACACATGACATGGAGACTCAAGCTGTGGAAGGAGGTACACATGACATGGAGACTCAAGCTGTGGAGGGAGGTACACATGACATGGAGACTCAAGCTGTGTAGGGAGGTACACATGACATGGAGACTCAAGCTGTGTAGGGAGGTACACATGACATGGAGACTCAAGCTGTGGAGGGAGGTACACATGACATGGAGACTCAAGCTGTGTAGGTAGGTACACATGACACTGAGACTCAAGCTGTGTAGGGAGGTACACATGACATGGAGACTCAAGCTGTGTAGATAGGTACACATGACATGGAGACTCAAGCTGTGTAGGTAGGTACACATGATACTGAGACTCAAGCTGTGTAGGGAGGTACACATGACACTGAGACTCAAGCTGTGGAGGGAGGTACACATGACACTGAGACTCAAGCTGTGTAGGTAGGTACACATGATACTGAGACTCAAGCTGTGGAGGGAGGTACACATGACATGGAGACTCAAGCTGTGTTGGTAGGTACACATGACACTGAGACTCAAGCTGTGGAGGTAGGTACACATGACATGGAGACTCAAGCTGTGTAGGGAGGTACACATGACATGGAGACTCAAGCTGTGTAGATAGGTACACATGACATGGAGACTCAAGCTGTGGAGGGAGGTACACATGACATGGAGACTCAAGCTGTGTAGGGAGGTACACATGACACTGAGACTCAAGCTGTGTAGATAGGTACACATGACATGGAGACTCAAGCTGTGTAGGTGGTACACATGACATGGAGACTCAAGCTGTGGAGGGAGGTACACATGACACTGAGACTCAAGCTGTGTAGGGAGGTACACATGACACTGAGACTCAAGCTGTGGAGGGAGGTACACATGACACTGAGACTCAAGCTGTGTAGGTAGGTACACATGATACTGAGACTCAAGCTGTGGAGGGAGGTACACATGACATGGAGACTCAAGCTGTGTTGGTAGGTACACATGACACTGAGACTCAAGCTGTGGAGGTAGGTACACATGACATGGAGACTCAAGCTGTGTAGGGAGGTACACATGACATGGAGACTCAAGCTGTGTAGATAGGTACACATGACATGGAGACTCAAGCTGTGGAGGGAGGTACACATGACATGGAGACTCAAGCTGTGTAGGGAGGTACACATGACATGGAGACTCAAGCTGTGTAGATAGGTACACATGACATGGAGACTCAAGCTGTGTAGGTGGTACACATGACATGGAGACTCAAGCTGTGGAAGGAGGTACACATGACATGGAGACTCAAGCTGTGGAGGGAGGTACACATGACATGGAGACTCAAGCTGTGTAGGTGGTACACATGACATGGAGACTCAAGCTGTGTAGGGAGGTACACATGACATGGAGACTCAAGCTGTGGAGGGAGGTACACATGACATGGAGACTCAAGCTGTGGAGGGAGGTACACATGACATGGAGACTCAAGCTGTGTAGGGAGGTACACATGACATGGAGACTCAAGCTGTGGAGGGTGGTACACATGACATGGAGACTCAAGCTGTGTAGGTAGGTACACATGACATGGAGACTCAAGCTGTGGAGGGAGGTACACATGACATGGAGACTCAAGCTGTGTTGGTAGGTACACATGACACTGAGACTCAAGCTGTGTAGGTAGGTACACATGACACTGAGACTCAAGCTGTGTAGGTAGGTACACATGACATGGAGACTCAAGCTGTGTAGGTAGGTACACATGACACTGAGACTCAAGCTGTGGAGGGAGGTACACATGACACTGAGACTCAAGCTGTGTAGGTAGGTACACATGACATGGAGACTCAAGCTGTGGAGGGAGGTACACATGACATGGAGACTCAAGCTGTGTTGGTAGGTACACATGACACTGAGACTCAAGCTGTGTAGGGAGGTACACATGACATGGAGACTCAAGCTGTGTAGATAGGTACACATGACATGGAGACTCAAGCTGTGTAGGTAGGTACACATGATACTGAGACTCAAGCTGTGTAGGGAGGTACACATGACATGGAGACTCAAGCTGTGTAGATAGGTACACATGACATGGAGACTCAAGCTGTGTAGGTAGGTACACATGATACTGAGACTCAAGCTGTGTAGGTAGGTACACATGACATGGAGACTCAAGCTGTGTAGGTAGGTACACATGATACTGAGACTCAAGCTGTGGAGGGAGGTACACATGACATGGAGACTCAAGCTGTGTAGATAGGTACACATGACATGGAGACTCAAGCTGTGTAGATAGGTACACATGACATGGAGACTCAAGCTGTGTAGGGAGGTACACATGACATGGAGACTCAAGCTGTGGAGGGAGGTACACATGACACTGAGACTCAAGCTGTGTAGGTAGTTACACATGACACTGAGACTCAAGCTGTGGAGGTAGGTACACATG